TTAAACAAAAATCCAGGCCGCCCCCCCCCCCATGCATATTACGTTGCCTGTGAATGAATTAAAATGCGAAATCTTCCAAAATAATGTAAAACTATTCACTATTTAAATGCAAAATTTAATTCAGAAAGTATTTTAGACATTTTGTTTAAACTGTAAAATACAATCTTTTGCGCGAAATATATATATATATATATATATATATATATATATTAGAGGTATTTACATTTTTAAGACAAACTATACTTCAAACTAAAACGTTTTAAAATTATTTGTAGAATTGGAGTTTGTGTGGCGTGACAAAAATTAACACGATGACTTTAAAAATAAAATCAATAAAAATCGTTGTCCATCCCTTAAAAAAATTGCAATTGGCAGAAGTGCGCGGAAAAAAAAAATAAGAATACATTTAACGAATAGCACATGAGGATTAAAAACCATCAGAAACGTTTTTCACATTTTAAACGAGAAGCCGGGCTACTTTTCTTACTTTCGGAACCAGATTGATTCTTTGTTCTTTCTATGGTGAGACACACACATGTGCTTTATTACCAAACAAGACCCTCATGGCCTTTGGCTAACAGCAGTGCTTTATTAATTTTTTCGTATTCGACCACCTTCAAGAATGAGTTCCGAACCAGCGCAGTCACATTGATCATGCAAATCAACAAAGTATGTCATTGTAAGATTTTTAATATGTACTGTACGTCGAATTTGCAGTATCAGATATCCTTGATGGCAAGTATGTCTGTATCTTTGAAATATTTGAGGATTTATTTATTTTTTTTGGGGTGCTGCTGACCAAATCGGGGTCCGAGTTTCCTATTTTATTTTATTTTTTTGTACACGTCTGGAGAGCACCCCCCGTTTGGGACCACTGGACAGGTGCTCTACATTCAAATGCATAGAGAAAAAAAAAACAATTGTATTTGATGTCGTCTGCGAGTCTGTGCTAGTGCTGACTTGGTGTAGACACGTAATATCGTCGTCCTGCGTACCCCTGACAGTGCTCGCGGGATCAAAGTTCAGCTGTTCCCATCTTCAAACCTGCTGTCACTCGCCGATTCTATCCTCAGGCCAGAGCCACGTTAAATCTCAAAGTAGTGCTCTCAGAACTATGTTGAAGTGGAGGGTGGAGCTTCGTTTCGACAGGCCATACGTTTTTGTCTTCTTGGGAAAAAAAAAAAAGTAATTTGCCGCCCTTTTGTGGCATCTGTAGTCGAGTAGAAACGTTTTAAAGGGGGCGGCAGTTATGTGTCGATTTTACCCGAATTGCGGGAGTTCACCGGAATTGCGGGAGTTCACCGCGGCGTCGCAAACGCTTGAAAATGAAAACGACACCGGACCAACAAGACGTCCCGCGTGTGGAAAGTCATCAAAATGTTTCCTCCTAAGCGTAGCTAAGCTACTGTTGACTATCCGACATTTTCCATCCGTTCACGTTAACCATTGTAACCGTCGATGTTAGCTAGTTTCATGTACAGTTACATGCGTAACGAACGAAAGTTAACCTTGCGGGAGCAGGATGTGAATATGACACAAGTTTTGTCTATTCGACGGTAGGATGAATCTCGGGCGGTTTTATCAGATGAATTCGGCACGAATAACAATGAAGGAACTTTTTTTTTTTTTTAAAGCGGGCCGGGTTGTTGAGCGGGTTAAAAATACAATACTTCCTCCTTGAGCTGCTTGGAAAAAAACGTCAAGGGTGAAAACCGTGAAACCTGTTTCGGTATTTACAAAAGTTGACTCCATTAAATAGAAAAAAAAAAAAAAAGGAAACTTCAGTCAAGATGATAAAAATCCATCTGTTAGTCAAGTAAAGTGCCTTTTCCAAAATAAGGTCCTTTCGGTCACTACGTTGTTACATTTGCTTTCCTGTTTGATGCTAAGCTAGGCAAAACGTGCTCAAAGTTCACGTCGCATCGTCGTGGAGACAATCTTTTTCGTTCGCTTGTGCATTATTAGGCTTGAGTCACTTTATTCTATTAGACCGTACGCGTGCAATTTTTAAAAATTTTTTTGGTTGGGCACTTTCGACATAAATTCATATTTGAGAGAGCGAGAGAGAGAGAGAGAGAGAGAATTCACAAAGCGGTACCTTGACTTGTGAGTTTCATCCGTTCCGTGTTTGTAAGATGGGGTTAAAAAAAAAAAAAGGCAACTTTCATCATTGGAATGAAATGAAATTAATCAAAATAATGTATATAAATAAATTGAAATCATTTTTATGAAAAAAAAACGAGCACTTTACTTCAACTGTATTAAAACAAATTCAACAAGAACAAAACATACAGCAGTAAATAAAATGTGAAGGAAAAAAAGACCATTTTGACTCAAGACGACAAAAAAAAAGGCAAAAAATTTGAAAATGGGAAATTTGGAAATCAAGGTATCATTGGATCGTGATCGACGGTGTTTTATTTATGTATGTATTTTTTGCGCAGTCGTCTGCATTTAGTGCCTCATAGCGTTGCATTCTGTACAATTGATTTGCTCACCAAGCAGGCAGGTCAGCGCTGAAACTGACTCGTGCCTTACACGACGTGCAATGTCCAGCCATCCATTTCAAACATTTTTTTTTTTTCCTATCGCGTAAATTCCCATGAGGGGTTTTGGAGGACATTTTTTTGGGCGACAATCCCACCGCCATCCTGACAACGTGAAATCGGCTTGAGGTCAAATAAATCAAGCGGCACAAGTCGAGGGGACTTTTGCCGAGCTCGCGGGTGCGGGCAAGATACCCGTTGCCATGGCAACGGGTGCAACCGGACCCCCTCCCCCCCCGCCCCTCGGCCATTTGATATCACATTGGCAAACGTCTGACTGACAATTGCTGCCCCGCTTGATGATGTCATCAACCACAGACTTCCTGTTTATGACTCCCAATGAAACCCCCGTCCCGCCCCCCCCTCCACAAAGCAGGTCACATGACCCGACTCATGAGATCGATTCAAGATTTGTGTGCAAGATAATGCTGCTTCAATCGCTTCTTTTCGCCTTTGCTTCATGTGGAACAATCGGCTGCGTATCGCATCACACCAAATATTTTTAAATGCTTTCTATGATTTTTGTTTTTCATGCTTTAAAAAAAAAAAAAAAAAGACAAATGTCACATTGTAATGTAATCTGCATGAGCTAGCATAGTTTCATTCAAACTACCAAAGGACAAAAAAAAAAAAAAAAACGGACTTCAGTCTCGCTCATGGACACAAACTGAACAATACGCAACATTTGGAACCCAAACCGGTTTTATATATATATATTTTTTTGCCCCCCCCCTTCTTCCTACACGTTTACAGGGAAACTTTGCTGTTGTTTACAGAAACTAGTACTACCTACACGTGGTCAAGTTGTGTGCTGTATATCTGTACCGTTATATTCCAATCTACTGGATGTACCGTAGATGTTAAGACAAGAATATTGTGTGGTCACGGTCAAATAAAAAAAAATAATAAAATAAAATAAAATCTTTTATTGGGGAAAAAAAAAAGTACCATTGGGTTCTTTGAAGGTTATGATTACAAGTGGAACCGAAGAAAACGCAACACAGTGCAAATTTCGTTTCAAAATAAAAGTGCCACATTTTGTCATGAGTGCAACTTCATAAAACAACAATAAAAAAAAAATGAAGTGCAACAGGGATTTTAAAAGCAAAAGAGCATCCTTCCTCTCCATGGATACAGAAGCAGGAGCACAAAGCTAAGAGCTGAGCAAAGAAAAAACAGGTCAGATGGTTTTCTGAACCCATTGGACCTGGAGTGACCGCTGTCCCTGAAAACGGGGGGCGGGGGGGGGGGGGGGGGGGGGGGGGGGGGCTCACATTTCTCTACAGCTCAAACTCAGAGCCGTCCAGAGTTTTCAGAAAGAGTTCCTCCTGCAGCCTTACCAGAGCCACGAGGGGGTCCTCCTCGGAAGGACTTCCAAGCGGGGAAGGCATTTTGGAGATGTAGCCTTGATCGGATCCACTGTTGGAAGCGTCCGCCCCGGGTTCCGCAGGCTGGCTGATTTGGTTCCCAAGAGAGAACTCTTGTGAGTTTGATCCCTGGGAGTTCAGGACTTCGGACTCTTCCTCATCCTCCTCAGGGATCTGACTTATGCGCCTCCCCTCAGCAGACGGAGGGCGCTTGACGGACAAAACGGGTTCGGCGACAAAAACGGACCGAGGGCCGTCGGTGGGGTGGAGATGAGGCAGGACCGATTGCCGCCGGTGCCCGTTCGCAGGGTTCACCAGCGGCAAAAGTTCTGCCCCGGACGAGCGCCGGCTCTCCGGGTTCAGCTCCGGGGTTAAGACTCGAACGCCGGTTCCGTTATCTCTTATGGCCGCCTCGCACGTATAGACGGGAAGTCCGTCTCGGATGAGCGGAAGACACTCGAGGACCGGCGAGCCCCGCTGCTGGTCAACGAGACCACCGGACTCTATCGGCAGGTCTTCCTCACTTTGCACGCACTCCCTCTCGAACCAGTCGGGGTTTTCAATCTGGTACGCCCGGAAGGTTTCGATGGCGTCCCTCAGGGCTCGACCCGAGGGACAGTTGAAGTATTCGTCCCCGCCGATGCCCCGTATGTGGTTGATCTGACCCGGCTGGTACTTCTCAATGTCCAGCAGGCCCAAGTACAGCTCCTCAAAGTGCTTCATCAGCGAGTACTTCACGCCGATGTCGAAAACCGACGGCACATCCCGCTCGCCGCTGACGTCGCCGAAGTAAGCCGCCACGTACTTGCCGTGCTTGCGCGCTTGGTGCATGTCGGGCAGGAAGAGGTTCAGGAAAGGGGTGAGCATGTCGTCGGTGGGCGACAGGACGTCTTCCTTCAACGTGACGCGGCGGTGGCCGCACATGGCGCGCCACTTGGCCTGAACCCCGCGCGAGCAGAGCACCAAGACCTTGTCGGTGGGATTCCGCAACTGGCCCCGCTGCCACTCCAGCCAGCGGACGCGGCCGACCGTGCCCACCGAGGTGGCGTCGAGCAAGTCGATGAGCACCTTGGCTCCGCATTTCGCCCTCAGAAAAGCGCAGAGCTTCAGCACGATGTCCCTGTAGAGGCGGTGGTCTTGCGAGTAGATCACCAGAACCTTGGGGGTCTGCTGAATTTGCCGCTCCTGCTCTTGCCGTTTCGGTTTCTCATCTGCGAGCGAGGCTTCTCCGGGTTTGCCTGAAGGCATTAACAAGGAATGCGACTTGTGATCGGACGCGCGAGGGGGGTAGTGGGGATTGTGGGGACTAACCTGGCCTCCCGCACAGGATGTACATAAAAATGGCAAAAATCCCAGCGCTTAGGAGCGCCGCGCACACGATAACAGGTGTGGATTGGGGAGCATCCGGAGGAACTGTCGGCTTGGCTGTTAAGAGTCAAATCGCAGTTTATTTAGAACCAGCCCATCTGTTGCGTTGGGGAGAAAATTCATCAGGAGAACCCATCCCGGCAAATTATCTGGAGACTAATCAGAGTGTCATTGATCTTGTCAGTGAGCTTGGAGTGTGTGTGACAGGGGATCTACGATGCAAATTTTTTTATTTTTTTGGACTTTTTGGTCACGGTTCAGCTTCGCGATGAGAAGACGACGTTTATGAAACAAATCCACAAATACAAAGCACCATCGTCCGCCACCTGGACGTGGACTTTTTGGTGGCTAGTTCCACCCAAGTGGACAAACCTTTGAAGACCAGATTTTTAGTTTGGTGTCATTTTTGAAGCTTGAAAAAATGGAATTCATGATTCGGAAAACACCTCAGATGATTTCCATTGATTCCAGCTGGAATAAATAATTTAAAAAAATCATTTTTTTAATTAAAAAAATTAATTTAAAAACGGTTATATATTTTTTAATTTAAAAAATATATTTTTTAAATTAAAAATAGATAAATGAAACTTATTTATATAATTTTTTGATATAAATATATACTCTTGCTGTCGTGGTTTGTGATCGTCTGCGCTAAGCAATTTCCATTTGTGTCTTGACAGCAATGTTGATATTATGCAGTCTGATCGGCGACACGGCGTCAAGTTGAAAACAAATAAATAAAAATAAAATGTCTGGCCAACCTGAACAAATGTCCAGCGTTCTCTGATGACGGGTGCAGTCTTCGCCACATTTTCGGAACATGGGTTTGATCTGAAAAAGAAGATATCGCAACTGGTTTGCACCTGCGCCACTTACTCACTGCCTGAATTTAAAAAAAAAAAAAAAAAAAAAGGGACAAAAGAGATGTTATCTTTACCGAGACGTCAAACTGGCAGCAGTATCTGGGCCACTTCGCCAGGCTGAAGGAGACATTCAGACGCGCCTGGTTGACCTGGAGAAAAGTCAGGTGGACCAATTACAGTAACCGGTGAAGAATGAAAACCACGTTAAAAATTGGTCCGTGCCTTGTTTTTTTTTTTTTTTTATGACCAGATTTTACTTATCACAAGCAGCATAAATGCAGTCGAGAAAATAGGCCAGATTGCATGAGCTTCCTGTTTATTTCTTTCTGAGGTAAGAAATCTAGGCTACACGGCACCGGATGCTGTAATGAGCACCCACCTGAATATTTTAGGTCAATTTCCTCAGTAGGAAATGTGTCTGAGAGACAAAGGGCTGCAAAAGTGCCGTTTAAAAAAACAAACAAAAAAAAAAAACAGCACTGAGCTCACCTTGTGCGCATGGTCAACATGCTGGTCGGAGGCACAGTTCACAATAACCATGTACTCGTCACACAGCGGGTCAGGACTGAAGCTGACTGTCAGTGTCTGTCTTTGTTTGGCTGTCACGTCCAGGCTGATGTTGGACTGCCAAAGACTTCCTACAATACAGCAAAAAATAAAAAATAAACGCCATGTAAGCGAAGGGTGCACCCACTGTTTCTCAAAAAGCGCAGTTGACTCACCTCTCTCGATGCAAAACTGGGTCACGAGCATCCGCGAGTCTTGACAACCTGACTCAAAGCAGAATCATTTCAAAAGTGAGCGAATTTCAAGATGTGTGTGTAATCTCATTGTAACATGTATTTGTTCCATATTTTGATGCATTTTTATGCTTTATAAAACATTTACGTCTGAATTTTGGGGAGGCTTGGAACCGATTAGGTAATTTCCATGGAAAACGCGTCTCTGCTGACAACATTTTCCAGTCAAGAAATTTCTTCCAGAACCAGTTAATTTTGGAAGTAGAAGCACCACTGTATGTTCTCTTTGACTCAAATAGTTCGAGAAAGATCGAGTCCGAAGTGGTTTGGACTCACCTGGAACAACAACATCCTGGCTGACGTCATAGTCGCTGTGGCCCACTTCCGGTTTGGGGATGTTGAAGACAGAAACCCGATAGCTGTGACCCGGGTCCACCACCACCATATTTGCTGAGAATGACCACTGCCCCCCCCCCCCCAAAAAAACAAAACAAAACAAAACAAAACAGTTATTTAAAAACAACCAGTGCCAATTGATTTATTAAAGCAGATAAGGCAATTGAGAACAGTTACGCCGTTTTTACTCTTTTTGTCTTCCCCGTTACAAACAAGCCATTTATTTGAAAAGCTCACCATGTCGTCGTGCGGATTCCTCATCGGGAGTTTGTTTTTAAAGGAATAGCGGACGCACAGGTGCTGATTGGTGGCCATCACCATGACGTGCAGCTCGGTGGCTTTTAGGTAACTGATGCTGCCTGCGGAGAGACGCCGCACTCGACCTTTTAACATTAGATTCCATTTGGATTGTTGGGGTGGCTAATATTGTTGAGTGAAGAGGCGTCAGATCACCGTCATCCCTGAGGGTCCAGTTCGCAACCAGGACAGGCTGCAGATGTCCTGCCTCATCCTGGACTCTTGTCAGGGACACCGTCAGCCCTTTTGGACCACTTGGCTAACGAACAAACAAAAAGCAAGAAAGAACAATACTGTTACAGTCGTTGTCTAAATCACAGGGATTAATACTGAAAATATTTGGTGCTCAATATTTACTGGACAGGGGACAAATAACATTTCAAAATGATGCATGCTAGTCACATAAATTTCCAGATCATTTTAACAGACTTCAAAAGACCTTTTATCAGATGGAAATCAAAATTTTTGCAGTGCAGTACACAAACGTGAGGTGGGGGGGGGGCATGACTGGGCTCCCAAAGAACAAGCTACGCCCCTGGTGTCTGTGCAGTATTTCTCTGCCAAGTTCACAATGACAGTACTTTTGTCATCTATTGACGTCACTGTTAACTATATCATCAAATAGTGACTTACGTTTCAAAAATGTACGCAAAAATGTGTACCAATATGCCAGAATTCGAATTAAAATGCGCGTATGTTCTTGCGCATCTTACCTGCTGGGAGCAGTTCGGTGGAGCGGACGTCAAAGTTCTTAAGGCAGACGACAGCGACACGGTCATGAACGCCAAAACGCTCCAGCAAAGAAGCCTCATTTTTCACAGTTTTTTTCCCCCCCGTAACTGCATTAGAGTCAGTGAAGGAAACACGTGAATGTTGCCATGAGAGGAAATCTCAGGCTCACAAAACCTGCTTGGATAAAAGCGAAAGTGTCTACTGATTAATGACAAAAACTTCCGGCTTGGTGGTCAAGTCACACCGGCTTGCTGTTGATTATGCTGCCTTCACGTAACCTAGGAATGTGCAGATACGTTCATAATTGACAGGAGATATACCGATATAATATACGAGTTGTTCGTTGTGCCTTTAAAAAAAGCAATGACGATCACCAGACAGTTCCTACAAAATAATAATAAAATAAAATACAAATAAAAATTGAATACACACGTTTAGGGCACGTTCCGTTTAAGGATTCCAAACATTTTTTTTTTCGGAAAATGTGGTCAATTCAAATCTATTTTAGTAGATACGTAACACCCTCAGTGGACACATTTTGTCGCACCTGTGCAAAAGTCATCCAGTCAAATGTCAAAACAGGTCTAATTTGACCCAAAGTTATACAACAACATATTTTGATAAGGACCGATGATGCACTGGGACGGATTGTGCAGCAGAGGGCGCCTTAACATTATTTTCTGTGGTTCGAGGGTCAGACTTTCGCATTAAGTCTGCTTCCATCCATCAAAGTTGACCCCAAAAAGCTCTTGGCCTCATTCTGTCTTCCACCCCGTGCTCAGACCCAAGAACGAGCTGTTCGAACTAATCTATAGGCTCAATAAAGAAGTCAAATGTCTTTGCCCTTTTATTCAAATGGATTAAGACGCAGGGGAAATTATTTGGTCTGCACTGCTATTTTAGGGATTGGGGGAGGCGGGGGGCTGCAAAGGTTACATAACTGCTATCTTAACATGGCTTCCAATTCAAATAACATTCAGCCGGAGACATTTGAGATGTCTTATCGGATTGTTTGATTAGGCTACTGTATAAATAAACCTTACCCTGCCTCCCGCGCTTGGTTCAGTTGCTCCACAAACCTTAGATGGTAGTGCGCTATACGGAACATCATGCTTACATTGTGCAGAACATTTCGTTGACAAGAAGCATCGTACATTCATTGTAAACCACTGTAACACATACACAGTTAGAACATAATTTTTGCATCATCCTGCTTAAAAAAAAAAAAAAAAAAAAAAAAAAAAAAAAAAAAAAAAAAGAGCACACACTACTAAACCAACAAATTACTTTTTTTTTTCAACTGTTATGAGCACAATAGCGTTAGCAAAGGAAAAGCACCAGTTGCATGGGCGGGTTCATGTTCCAGGTCAAACTTGTTAACTCAATCAAGCTGCTTCCTGGAAGAGGCCCCCCGGGCACGAACCAATGAGATTTCAAGAAAAGGCCAAGTGGATCTCGCTGTGGCTTAGACCTAAAAAAAAAATAAAATAAAATAAAAACAAAGAAGCTTCCTGAATTGAAAACGACACGGATGAAAAGGATGCTAAAGTTGATCATTTGTAATGAAAGGTGACTACATAATCATTTGGGGCAGACTGCATGTTTTTTTGTGTGGTGGGTACGTATGTGTGGTAGGGGGATTCTAAAATGTTGTAAAAAGTTTTACGATTTTTTTTTCTCAAGTTCTCCACATGTCGGAAGGGGTTACGAGCATTCGAGCAAATCCAAATGAGAATCTAGCGGAAGGTCAGAGGGCTCGACATCATCCATCCTGTTCAACAATAAAACAGTGGCTTTTTTGGGGGTATAAGTGCGATGTTCGTGTTCCAAGCGACTCCTTGGATCATTATGGCTTTGTTTTTTTTTTAAGTGCGATGTTCGTGTTTCAAGCGACTCCTCGGATTATTCTTTTTTTTTTTTTAGGCGGCGCAAGCGCGATCATTTATTTGAGGGAGCCGTGTATTGGTCTGAAGCCGACGCCGCACCTGGGAATGCGATGACATTCCGCCTGGCCCGCCATAAACGGCTTGGCCGCCGTTTTCATCGAGATAACGGCGCCATTCATACGCCGGGTGTGTCGAGGGGGCCTCCCAACAGTGTTTCTTTTTCCTGGAGAATCAATGCTGAGGCCTCCTGGCCGTCTTATTACTTTCTATGGCAGCGCGGAGACACCTGTGCGGGGAAGGCATGAGAGGAATGTAGATCGTCATGGAGATGTGCGCTGGATGGACGGAAGAGAGTCCACGTTTGGGTTTGTTGTTTACTGTAATGCTGCCAGGAGCACAGCCGGAGATCAGTAAACATTTTTTTTTTTCACTGTCAAATATTAGAAATAAGCCAAGGTGGGAAGTAACAAAGTACAAATCTGTGGTGAAGTAGATTTTTCAGCTATCTGTCTTGATTTTTACGCTTTTGACCTTCACTCTCTACATTTGAGAATAGATGTTGGTGTGTTAAAATATTTAAAAAATAAATAAATAAAAAAAGTTGACCTTTTGTCAACCTCTCCAGATGACAAAACAAAGTCAAAAAGACGAACATGATCGAATTTGATTGAGGGGATTTGTCAGGCTAATTTCAGTTAGCCCGACAATTGCATTTTGCATTAAATGTTAGCATTAAGCTAGCCCTTTAAACAAAATTTTCATTGGATGCGCTGTTTGTATTTATGGTTGCTACATAACATCCATGCTAATCTCAGTTAGCTCATCACATACGCACTGTATGTTAGCATTAAGCTAGTGGACCTTTGCTATTCCCGAATATGGTTCGGGTGAATATTTTTTTTTCGGTTTAAATGTACAATGTTTAATTCTCTTTTGTTGTTTGCCGTGTTTAAACAGTTTTGCTCATTTCCGTTACGCGCCGCGTTAGCATCATGCTAGCAGACTTTTATTCGGAATTAAATGGAACTTTTGGTGATTCGATCTTCAAAGTTTCGTTGGCTTTTATTTTGTGCTTGTGACAAGCAACTTGACACTTTGCCTCATAGAGAAATATGTATAGTATTATTTTTTTAGCAACATTTACGATATTCTCCCATTCTTTTTCACAGCGAGAGAGTAAGAACAAGTGCGATGGAAGGATCACATCCATGCTCGTTACGCTCAAGAGATCCCACGACAGTGAGTTCTTGATTCTCACGCCTCACACCGATTTCCTCCTCTTGCCAAAAACGTTGTTGATGAGTCTGGCCACGGACTTGGAACCGCTCGGGCGTCGCCTGCGCTCCTTGGCCTTGGCGCTCTGCAACGCCTTGGAGAACACGAGCGCCACCTCCTGGTAGTGCTCGGCCGCCGACAGCTCGTGAAACTGGCATCGGAACTCGTCCGCCAAGCGCTGGCCTTCCTCGCGACACACCTCTCGCATGTGGCACAGATCGTGTTTGTTGCCCACCAGAAATATAAGCGACTCAGCATCCCTGACAAAGAAGGCGGGGAAATTTTTTTTGAAATAATGCTGCTTTGATGATTGAAGTCTAGGGCCACCATGGAGTATTTTCGAGGAACGTACCTCTTGGCCGATCCCAAGCGGTGCTCCCGGATGAGCTTCACGACGCTTCTGGCAGCGAGTAAGGACGAGCGGTCGCTAATGTCGTAGACCACGATGAAACCGTCGGCTAAGTGAATCTGGTCGTTGATCGTTATTTTACCTTGAAAGGACTGAAAAAAAAAAAGACACACGACTTAATCTTAGTAGAAACATTTTCCAATCCATGCTCATAATCCTGACCTGGGAGCAGGGCTCGTACAGCTCCAAATTCATCTGCCTCCCATCCAGAGTCAGACGCTTTCGGTATATGCATTCTGTGCAAGGAAAATGATTTTAACCCTTTCGGGGACAGCGGTTACTACAGTGGACTGCTTATCGTATTATCAGGTTACAAGGTGCACGAAAGGGCTAAAATAATAAAAACAATCAGTCGCGCAACCTTTTTGTCCAGTTGACTTCGACGTGGCCTAAGCTTTTCAATTACCTGAAGATGATGCGTATTCTCCGATGAAACGTTTAGTGAAGAACCGGACGATGAGGGCTGCAGAGCAACAAACGTGAAAAAAAAAAACATTTAAAGTTCCATCTCCCATCTGTCGTAAACCGAGGAAGAGATCCCTGTACAGCATCGGCCTAAAATTGCAATCCTCTTACCTGACTTTCCGACGCCTTCACTTCCAAGCACCGCAATCTTGATGTCGTTCATGTTCTCCTCAAAAAGAAAGAAAGAAAGAAAAAAAAAGCTCCAGGAATGAAAAGCATGCTTTTATGAAACGAGGGGTGGGGGGGAAGGAGTCAAAGCCCTCTCGAGAGTTGGGTCGACTGGGCAAGCGGCGCACTGGGGGAGACGTGGGGTTTGGCGAAGAGGAAGGAGGGGCGGGGCAAGGGGAGATTCAGCAGA